TAACCTTGTTTGTATGATGCCCTAGGTTCACTCCACAGCATCACAAATGCTCAAAATAGGCATGGTGGTCCACACCTGTGCTTGGAAGGCTGAGGCAGTAGCATCCTGAGTTTGAGGACATCCTGGACAAGACAATAACTTGTCACACAATAAAGGACTTGTTTTATGGTCTAAAATGTGATCTACTGGCCTGGAGAAATGGCTCAGCAGTTAAGAGCACTGGGTGCTTTTGCAGAGGACTCAGGTTCAATTCCCAGCACTCACATGGCAGCTAACAACTATCTATAACTCCAGTTCCAGGGGAACTGATACCCTCTTCTGACCTCCACAGGCATTGCATGACATGCATGGGTGCACTTACACACATGCAGGCAACGTACTCATACACATAAAATAAAAATGATAAATAAAGTTGGGCATGGTGGCACACACCTTTAATCAGCATTCGGGAGGCAGAGGCAGGCAGATCTCTGTGAGTTCAAGGCCAGCCTGGGCTACATAGTGAGTTCCAGGCCAGCTAGGGCTACAGGGAGACCCTGTCTCAAAAAAGACAAAATAAATAAATAAATAAATAATATGTGATCTACTTTGACTCCTCAAAAGAGTGTGTATTTTGCAGTTGTTGAGTATTTTGTAGATGTCTGGTAAGTCCATTTGATCTATGGTGCAGTTTAACTCTGAGGTATCTTTGCTAATTTTTTTTTGTCTAGATGATCTATCTATTGATGAAAGTGCGGTAATAGATTAACTATTATAGTGTCTTGACTTATCTATTCCTTTATGCCCAGCAGTGTTTGTTTTGTGAAATCTGATGCACCAACATTCAGTGCGTGTATATTCACTGTCATGGTCACTACTTGATGGATTGTTCTCTTTAATAATATGTAGTAAATGTCTCTCTTCTAGTTTGGGCCTGAAATCTACTTTGTTAGATGAGAGTCTAGCCACTCCTGCTTGTTTTCAGCCTTCACTTGTGTGGTTTATAGTTTTCCATCCTTGTGTCTTTGCCAGTGAGATGTGTTTCTTTTTAAAATTTTTTTTCTTTTTGTGTGCCTGTGTGTGGTTCTCTCTCTCTCTCTCTCTCTCTCTCTCTCTCTCTCTCTCTCTCTCTCAGCTGCAGAGGTTGAGATTGGCTGTCTTCCTCAGTTGCTCACCACCTTATTTTCAAGGCAGGGTCATTGAACATGGATCTCACCAATTCAGCTAGATTGGCTGGGTAGCAAGCCCCAGAGATCCTCCTGTCTCTAGCTCCCCAGCACCGAGATTATAGATACATGCTGCCACACCTGGTTTTTTACATGGGTGCTGGAGACCTGAACTCAGGTCCTCATGCTTGTGCAGCAGGTACTTTACCAATTAAGTCATCTCCCCAGCCCCAGTGGGATTTTTGTGTGTTTGTTTGTTTTTGAGGCATGGTCTCCCTGTGGCCCCAGATGGCTTGGAACTCTATGTAGACCAGGCTGGCCTCAATCTCACAGAGATCTGCTTGCCTTTTCCTCTGGAGTGCTGGGAGAAAAGGTGTGCAGCACCACCCTTGGCTGTTTTCTTTCTTAAAGTTTTTTTGATTGATTTGTTTTTAATTTATATGTATGAATATTTTGCCTGCATGTATGTTAGTGCACTACACATGTGCAGTGCCCATGGAGACCAGAAGAGGGCATCAGATCCTTTGGAACTGGAGTTTGAAAAGGTTGTTAGCCAACAAGTGGATGCTGGGGACCAAAGTCTGGTCCTTTAGAGGAGCAGCAAGTACTCTAAACCACTGAGCTGTCTCTCCAGCTCTCCCGGTAGGTTTCTTACAGACAACAAATAGTTGTTTCTCTTTATCTGTGTTTGTGTTTGTGTGTGTGTGAGCACATGTGTGTGCAGGTGTATATGCATGTGGAGGCCAGAGGTCAGTTTCAGGTGTTGTTTCTCAGAAGGTGTCTACTTTGCTTTTTGAGGCAGGGTCTCTCTTTTGGCCCAAAGCTACTGATTAAATAGGTTGGCTGGCTTTTAAGTCCCAGGGATCCTCCTGTCATGTACAGACCTTCCATCCTTCTTCCCTCCCTCCCTCCCTCCCTCCCTCCCTGTTTCCCTTCCCCATTCCCTCCCTCTCTGCCTCCTTCCCTTTCTTCCTTCCTTCTTTCCTTCTGACAGAGTCTCATATAACCCAGGCTATTCTTGGACTCACTGTGTAGCCGAGGATGACTTTGCATGTCTGACACACCTGCCTCTACTTCCTTAGTGCTGGGATTACAGGGCGTGCCACCATTCACAGTTTACCCCAGGCTACAGATCCAACCCAAGGCTTTGTGTATGCTAGGCATGCAGTCTATCAACTGAGTTGTATTTCATTTTTCTTTACAGCTAAACAAACATTTCACTGAGCATATGTACACATTTTCTTTATTCGCTCCTCTGTTTATAGTTATGTAGGCTGGCTCCATTGCTTGGTTACCATGAATGGATGTGTAAGTATCTCTGGGGCATGTTGACTCAGAGGCCTTTGGGTTTATAGCCAAAAGTTATACTACTATTACCTATAAATTCTGTTTAAAAATTTTTTGGAAACAGGGTCTCATGTAGCCCAGGCTGGTCTGGAACTTGCTATGTAGCTGAAGATGACTTTGAATTTCCAACCCTCCTGCTTCCACCTTCTGAATGTTGGGATTACATATGGGTGCCACCACCCATGGTTTGTTGCCCATAAACTCTTGAAAATGTCTTGTTTAAAATATCTATAGGTACCAGGAAGCAACTTTTCCTTTGGTTGTTGGCAGTTTTACCACGACAAACTGGGTTTTTCATTGTTCTGAGCTGCTGCACAATTCACTAATTTTTTTTTTTTTTGGTCTTTTTGAGACAGGGTCTCCCTGTAGCCCCAGCTGGCCTGGAACTCACTATGTACACCAGGCTGACCTCGAACTCATAGAGAGCCACCTGCCTCTGCCTCCTGAGTGCTGGGATTAAAGGCCTGTGCCACCACGCCCAGCTTTCACTAAATTTCTTGTCACTAGACTAATGTCTTTCAATAATTTTGGAGAAAATTCAGCTGTTGCCTTTTATTTTTTTTGAGGCAGGGTCTCCTTGTAGCCTCAGCCTGGAACTCGTTATGTAGACCAGGCTGGCCTCAATCTCACAGAGATCTCCCTGCGTCTGGCTCCCTAGTGCTGGGGTTAAAGGCCTGCGCCACCATGCCCAGCAACTCAGCTGTTACCTTGTAAACATATTTCTTTCTTATCCCCTCTCTCCTGGGACTTCGCCTACACGTATATTAGACTGATTTTGCCTGACAAGCCTCTAGTGCTTGGATATATTTGTTTTCCTTCCCTTTTTTCTTTGTGCTTTTGATTTGTATATTTCCTATTGATCTGTCTTAAGTTCACTAATTCTTCGACTCCACATCAGTGCGCTGTTAATACATCCACTGCAGTCTTAATTCTAGATACAGTGATTTTTGGTTTAGAATGACTAATTTGTTCTTCGGGTCTCCATCTGAAGTAGATGGATACATGATGATTCTCAATGAATCACACCTCCTACAATTTATGAACTCTGTGGTCCTTTTTTACAGTGATCCTGGGTCACACAACTAGCTTTGGCCAATGGGACTTGAGAATAAGCAGAAGCTGATAAATGCTGCATATTAGTGCTTACCCTCTTGGACCTAGCTGTTAAGGAGGAGGCCAAGATCAACTTTCTCCAGATGGAGAAGCCATATGGAGAGAGATGCAGTCACCTGAGAGACACATTTGAGGCTATCAGAGCCTTTCCATCAACACATAGAACTGTGGGAACTAACACAGAGTGGTTATTTTATTATACTGTATTTTAGAGTGGTTTTATAATGTGGCAATAAAAGACTATCGCTTTCAAAATGTATTAATTTATTGTTTGTTGTGTGTGGGTTTTTTTTTTTCCAATAAGGTCTTACTCTGTGACCCAGGCTTGTCTAGAACTTACTGTGTTATTTAAGCTGGCCTTGAACTCATAATGAGACCCCTCCTTCAGTCTCCCAAAGGCTGGGTTTGTAGATATGAGCCACTATACCCAATGTTTGAGATAAAGCTTCATGTGGTCCAAGCTGGCCTTAAATCAACTATAGAGCTGAAGCTGGCCTTGCATTTATGATACTCCTGCCTCCACCTCTCAACAACTGCTGAGCTTACAGCCCTTCACCATCACCTGGATTAATGTACTGCTTTAGAGACTCCACCCTTTCACCAGTTTTATCAACCTTGTATTCTAACTTCTTCAACTTATTTATGATCGTTCTTTTGAAGTTGTCTGTTAATACCAACAAATGTGCCCTGCTTCTATTTATTTTTTAAATGGGTTAGTTACATTTTCCTTCCTTTGTTCATGTTATATACATGTACATATATAAATTATATATGTGTGCATATATAATTTTTACATGGTGCTGGGGATTCAACCTAGGTCCTTGGGCACACTAGGCAAGCACTCTGCCACCGAGCTACATCTCCATGTCTTACAATTTAAAAATTGTGCATATGCCAGAAATGGTATCTCAGACACTATATAGACAAGAATACTATTTTTTCCTTCAGGAGCAGCATACTGTTTCTTCTGTTAGGCAGTTGAATCTGGTTGTTAATATACTTCTGCAAATCAGGGCAACACAGTATACTTACTTCTTGTGCAAGGAAGATTTTGGGATTTCAAAATAATGATTTTGAGGTTGTAGAAGTCAATAATATAACCAAATATTCCTAGGAGGACAGAGGAATTACTGAGATGTAATTTAAGTCAGCCTCTGAAAATGGATATTCTCATACTTTAAGCCTTTCACCTTAAAAATTCTAGAAACATAAGTGTATATAATCTGCCAAACAATTGTGTTATCCTATGTCCTATAGCTTACAGAAAATTCCACTTTGCTCTTGTGAGAGAGTGAGGTTGAAAAGGGCAGATGATGCCTTATTATTATTATTATGAAAATAGCTTTGGCTTTCCAAACCTCCTGAAAATTGCTGGCGTGTATGAGCAGACACCACTGGGATTGGCCATAGGTTTTATTGACAGAGCTCAAGAATCCATTGGGGTCACATTAGGACAGCTTCATTGCTTACATTTTCCTGGCTTCAGGTTTCTAGGCACTTAAAATAACCATGGCTTTGGTTTGGGTTGGTACTTGGGCTTCACGCAGCACACCTTCCCGTTTGTGCAGAAGACATAGACGCTCTCCTTTCTGGAGCATCTGTGGCGGCACTTGCCATGAAGATTCCAGCATCTCTGGGAATCACCTGACACAGAGAAAAGACAAACGAAACCCTGTCAGTCCAAAGGGAGGTTGGCTCTGGTCTTGGGGGAATGAAAATGGCTGTGAGTGGCCCTCCAGCTTCCTTTTGACCCTTTCACCTGCTGTTACTTTTCCTTATTCAGCTTTTTGTTACGTTTCTTGACCAAGACTCTAGACTGAATGACAAATCTGGAATTTTGAAAAACTGCGTTTGAAAGGGTGACATGAGACTCCACTTCTAAAACCCAAACCAACCAAATAAATAAACAAATAAGAACAACTGTTCTGGTGGCTACCTCTATAGGACTGCACCAAACGAACCCAAGCAAAGAAGCAGGACAGATGGAAATGATGCTCAACCACCACCACCACAGTGAGCGGTGCAGTTGGTAAGACAGAACTTGGAACCTGAGGCAAAGCAAAGGCCCGTGTCTCTCTTCTCTGTACAGCTCCAGTCCCGCCTTGATTTAGAGTTACCTTAATGTGCCTCAGATGAATAAAGCCTTTAAGCTCTGAGTTACTGGTTTCCTTTTGACAAGTCTGAGAGAGACTCATTCGTCTCTACCCTTAACACCAGGCTCGCCCTCTGTGGGTGCTCCCTCTGAGAGCATGGATGGTGTGTGATGGCGAAACTTAGAACTCTGGAATCAACCCCTGGCTCCATCACACAAGATTCTGACCAGACTGTGCCCATTCACAGAACTTCATTTTTCTCTTTTAAAGAAAAGGCTAATACCATAAATATTCAAAAAATGGTTCAACACCCATGGTCATCAGTAAAATGGAAATTAAAACTGCTTTGTGATTCCATCTCACCCTGGTCAGGGTGACTATCATCAAGAAAACAAATGACAACAAAAGCTTGTGAAGATGTGGGTAAGAGGAACTGCTGTTATACACTGCTGGTGGGAGTGTAAACTGGTGCATCCACTGTGGAAATCGGTGTAGAGGTTCCTCAACAGGCTAAAGCTACCATGGCATCCAGCTGTACCAGTCCTGAATATATACTTGAAGGATTATAAGTCCATCTGTGGTAACAGAGATACTTGCACAACCTTATTGCTGCACCATTCATGATAGCCAGTAGATAGAACCAGTGTAGAGACTCATTAATCGATAAATAAAGTAAATGTGATCTTTAAATACAATGGGATTAGATTTGGCTGCAAAGAAGAATGAAATCATAGCATTATGGGAAAATTGATGGAACTGGAGATTATTATGTTAAGCATTATAAACCAGACTCGAAAATACAAACGTTGCATACTTTCTCGCATAGGTAGAGTCTAGATTTAAATATATATGTAGGATGTCAAAGCAGAAAGGGGATGATGAAAGGAGAGGAGGTCTAAAGAGATGGGGAGGGGACCAGGAGGGGGCAACGAGCATATAAGAATGAAGGTAGAAGGAGGGACTACTTGGGGGGCGGAGAATGAGGTAAAAAGTGGGAGGATAGGAACAAAATATAATGACCTGTATGCATGAAAAATGTCACACGAAACCTATTACTTTGTACCCTAAAAAATAAAAGTTAAAAAGACTAATAGCATCTATTTTTTTTTTTACCAGCATTAAAATCTTCAGGCTGAGAGAGAAAGAGTTGGAGGAAGGAGGGAAGGGAAAAGAGAAAGGAAGGAGAGAGGGAGGAGAGAGGGAGGAGGAGCAAGAGACAGGGAAAGAACACAGGCGCATGCTGTGGCGTCCACAGAGGAAACGCCTCTCATCTTTGAATACTTAACTGAACACACATATGAATAAACTACCAAAGGTTTTGTTAAGAATCACCAAAAAGAGGCCTACAGTGATTGTGCAGCACTGAAAATGTGTGCGCTCTTCTGCCGAAGTGGAGAGGCTTTCGAGAACCCGTAGCATTTGGCGCTCTGAGGCCATTTTGCCTTAGGAAGGAGGCCCAAATTAGCCCTACAGGATTCCTGCATGCCTCCCCAGCAAGTTTATCGGTCAGTCTTGAAAATAGTCCTCTGCTTTCAACTAACCTGACTGTACTCCAGAATAAACACACTTTGAAGAAAGAGCAAAATATGGCAACCTAAAGTGTAAGTCTTTAGGGCACAGCAGCCAAATAAATTCCCCCGTTAACTGACTGACTGAGTGATTGGCTGGCCTGAGAATGGGACCCAGGATGCCACTGGCTCTCAGACTACTGAAACAAAGACCCCAGAGTTACCATGTCCTGAGGAACTCATGCTCTGAAGCCCTGCTGTGAGCCACAGTAGGAGCTGGCTTCTGGGAGAGGTGGCACATTGCTTATCTCATAGTTAAGCCAACATGTCATCCTGATTCATTTTATCTCTTCTATGAAATTGTAAAATCACTACAGGGAAGGAGGAGAGGAGGAGTCTATCCCCTGGGTTTGACCAAACTGTTAGATAAATCCATTTTCCTAAAGGAAGAAAAGATGGTAATGGTACTTGTCAGAGGACAGTGTTCAAGGACAGCTCCACTGCCCCGGCTTGTCCCCCTCCCCTCTCCTGCCGGCCTCTTCCCTCCTCTCCAAGCAGTCCCCCTCTTCTCTCATGGCTTACACACATATTTTTAATTGAGATCTTGTGTACAAGAGAAAACAACTGATCCCTGTCTTTCTGAGTTTGGTGCTACGAACAGTTGTTAGCCACCATGTGGGTGCCAGAAACCAAACTCAGGTCCTCTTCAAAAGCAGCCAATGTTCTTAACTGCTGAGCCATCTCTCCAGTCCAGTAGATTTTAGAGCATAAAACAAGTCCTTTATTGTGTGAGGAAGGGATGAACAGTGACAGGGCTATCAATTACAGTACTCCACCTAGCCGGCAGCAGAAAACCAGTCCAGTCACAGCACACACGTCAGTCCCTGGGAAAGCCTGTGACTGGGTCTGACGCTATGCAGAAGATAAGAATTTCCCTAAAGACCTAGCAGCCTGCCCGAGCTGTGATGAGGGATGAGGAGGAACTCCCTACACCCCACCCCCATAATACATACTCTGGCCATTGCTTCAGAATCCCAGTGTTCCTAGCAGGAAAGCCTCCTGCCCCTGCCTGGCTCACTTTGCTTATATTCTACAATAGCATCAGACCCCTGGGAGAAGTGACTGAACATCCCCCTCAGCTCTCCTGCAGCATAGGAGAGCCCAGGAAGCCCCCACATTCCCTTTTCTGGTGAAGACAGGGAAAGCAGTGAGGAGCTGAAAGAGTTGTTAGGAGTAACCCCAGGGCAGAAGGTGGAAGGGGTCATGAAAACAGCCTTATTCTAACTGCCAGATGGGAGATTTGGCTGAGACAAGGGTCAAGTCATACAGGAGCCAATGAGCCAAGAGCTCCTTTCAGCCCCTCCGTAAGCACCCCAGGCTACAGTGACCCATTCCAAGAGGTCATCGCACTCAGCGTCTGACATGCCACATGTCATATATGTTAAATTCTTTGGGTCCTCAAGTAGAAAGCAAAATCTAAGAGAAGAAAGAATTTTCCCTTCTTGCTTGGTTCTGTTTTGGCCACTGCTCAGCCTCCTATCAACACTTATCCCAGAGTCTGGAACATGAAATCATTCAACTAAGTATATTCAATGAATCAGTTGCTTAATTGATGGCATGTCAAGTTCCTTCTCCTAAACCTAGATGCTGTCTGGGGAAGGAGGAGAAGGGATGGAAGAAAGGAGAAAAATTCAAAAGAGGCCAAATTAACTTAGGAGTCATTTTAAACAAGAAAAGACAAACACAGAACTGGAAAGTTTAGGTCCAGTTCCCTGCAACCTCCCCAACAGCAACTCACACCACCAGAATGGAAGGTCCTAGAAACCAGATAATTACAGAAAATAATCTGTCTGTCTCTGTCTCTGTCTGTCTCTGTCTGTCTGTCTCTCTCTCTCTGTCTCTCTCTCTCTGTCTCTCTCTCTCTTCAGGGCTTCATGTATCCCAGACTGGCCTCAAACGTTATATGGCTGAGGATACCCTTGAGCTTCTGATCCTCCTGCCTCTACCTCCCAGGTCCTAGGATTACAGTCCTACACCTTTACACCCAGACTATGTGGTACTGGGGATCAAACCGAGGACTTTGTGGGTGCTTGGTAAGCACTCTACCACCTGAGTTATACCCCCAATCCTGCATGTATTTTTGCATGCTAACATTTCAGTGCTTTCTCTTTTGTCCCTTCAACCTGCTATTACCACACACATGAACCATTTGAGAGATGGGAAAGTTGACATCTGAAAAGCAGTGAGATTTGTCAGGATCAGAGTTAGAAAATTCTGGGCCTGTTGCTAACTTAGACTCCTGGCTTTTCTTTCTCCCTCAGATGAGTGTTATTTCAAGGCTACAGGCAGGAATTGAGGTCAGCTTGTTTAAGAAAAGTTGCACATTCCAACTCTGGAAAGTTTAGTCGACAGTCTGGGGGTAGAGAGCGCTTTGTCATTGAGTGAGAGGGACAGGTAGCTGGTGTGGGAGTTGGTGTAAAGGGTATGACTGACCTTCTGTTAAACTCTCTCATGACCCTCAGCTGGTATCCCTGGCCCATCAGGCTGCTTCCTTAGCTTCCCCCTGGGGTACCCCTCACCCCTCTGTACTTTGCAAGGGTTCCCTGAAGGCAGCATGCTCCCTCCCACTTGGGATGCCCACCTGTGCCTGCCTGGGGCAACCTTCCCATGCCCATCACTGTTCTTTTTCTGCTTTATTTCTACTCATCTCTCAGGACTCTGCTGCCCTCAGCCAAACCAGCCCCTCCCACATATACCCCTCCCATGTATACCCCTCCCATGTATACCCCTCCCATGGCTTCCCTTTGTCACAGCTTGGGGTACGATGCTATTTAACTGTATCCCAGGCAATACATTTGCCTCCATAGTTTTAGCTCCTGATGTAGTTTGGTTCAGAGGGAGCAGCAGTAAACATGAGCGTTTGTCTCCCATTAAGGTGGCTTTACTAAGCCTAGATTATTCTAGGGACTATTTTATAAAAGAGCCACCATTGCCCTCTCTTTCTGGCTTCTCTGGCTCCAAACACAGGCCCTCTGCACAGCTTTCTGGACCTAAGCTTGGATGGGGGGGTATGGGGGGATTGAATGAAACACTCTGGATGTCAGAGTTGGCATGTCTGGCAAGATACCTCTTCTATGGGAGTGGGAATGGTGACATCTTCCTGCCCTAGGCAGCTGGTCCTCCTTGTCCTGGGGATTCACTGACCAGGCCACAGTCTCCAGCCCCAGCCCCTTCTGTACGGAAATCTGCATACCTGGAGTAAGCTGAGACAAGAGCAGCAGCGCAGCCAAAGTCAACAGCAGGAACTTCATAGCAGGAGAGGGCCCAAGGTGACGCTTCAGGGATGAGCAATGGTGAAGCTAAGTCGCCAGCTGAGGAGGCTGTGCCTTTCTGGCAGAAGTCCCTTAGATGGGTGGGAGCAACCCACGGGACCAGCCCATGGGACCAACCCTGTGCTATGTGTCCACAGTGTGGCACCACATCCTCATGAGTCCACATGCATCCCTCTGTCTTTTAGGTCAGCAGGGTGAGGTCAACCACAGTCCAAGGTCAAACGGCACAGTCCTTTCCCAAAGGCTCCATACCTGGTAGACAAGGCACCACCAGGGAGTTCCAGGAATAAGAATCCTAGACATCAGGGGAGACTGGGGGAAACTGATCAGTGATTTGAAGAATAACCAGGGATGCAGGCAAAGGAGGCGAAATGGGGTTCCAGGCAGGGCAACGTCTGTTTAAGTGAGAAATAGGACATAATGGAAGCAAAGACTGGAAGAAAAGGGGCACGTGAGGGAGCTCTGAGCACCAGCCCAGTGGTAGCCAAGCAGGAACCCAGCACAGGGTTGCTTTGGACTGCTGGGCTGAACCCCTTTCTAACAGATCCAAGAATGGAGGTTGTCTGAACCTAGGTTTGAAGACTCATTCTTGTTTCTTTGGTCCCCTCAGTTCAAGGGTGGTGGCTGCTCAGCAGTTAACTGTTTCCCCAGGGTCTTCATTTTTTAACCTTCCGGCAAGAGTAAGCAGTTCCCTCCATTAACTAGCTCTGGTTCAATGATTTACACGATTTCTGCTTCCTGACTGGACCCTCCTGGATACAAAGGTCAAGGGAATCAAAGCATGCGTTAGGGTTATGTGTCCCTGGGGCCTGCAGCGGAGAATTTAGAGTTAGCCACTGAGGGAGGGGCTTCTGGGAGACATCTTGGACACGGCGAAGGGCAAGGACTGAATGGCCCAGCACTTACCCACCTGGGGCGAGACTGCAGGCCCAAGAAGGTGAAAGCAAGCAGCGACTATGGGCGGGCTGTGGGAGCCATCTGGAGTGGCGGGCTCTGAGCCACAGGGCAGAGCTGGACACCGGGTGTTTGTTTCTTTGTCAACCCCCCCCCACAAGGACATAAACCATAGTAAATTCACATAAAAATATGTTCTATGGTTTGTCTGATAGCGCAAGAGACTCTGGAACTCGGGCGACAGGGTACTTAAACCCCTACCATATCCCGGCAACATTGACTTATAACTGAATTCTGGGTAAAGTGGACAACCAAGAAAAGCACACCACTTTTCTGGGGGTTCCTACCCTGGGGGAGGCACAGGGCTTAACAGGGTGAAGGGAAATTTAAACCCTGTGCCTCCTGCTGGGATTGGGGCCATTTGCTGCTGGGCTCAGCCAGCTCTTTTTCTAGAGTGTACTATGGCTTTCTGGTTTCCTTTAATGAAACTCTTGACTGCTTGCTGTACTACTGTGTCATGTCTGAATTCTTCTTTTTCTGGAGCACAAGAGTGGAGAGTGTTGCTGGGGTCAAGACCAGAGGAAACCTGAGGCCTCCTGGTACCAACTGGGGGGGGGGGCGCGGGCACTGCTGTGACTCTGACAGCTTTCTTTAGAGAGAGGTTAAAATGTAGCGGATCCCCACCCACCTCCCTCTGCACTTGGCAAGGGCTCTATGTTCCTCTTTCCATCATTTCACTACTCTGTCTCCAGAGTGTTTTTTTAAAAAGTATTTTATTTATTATTTTTATTTTATGTGTATGAGTGTATTGTCTGCATGTATGTGAGTGCACCCGTGTCGTGCAATGCCGAGGAGGTCAGAAGAGGGCTTTGGATTCTCTTGGAACTGGAGTTAAGGACGGTTTGTAGCCACCATGTGGGTGCTGGGAATCGAATCCGAGTCCTCTGCAAGAGAAGTCAGTGCTCTTAACTGCTGAGCCATCTCTCTAGCCTCCTCCAGAGTGTTTTTATAGATGCTTCCTCTGCTGTAGGATGCCTGTTCCCCTCTCCTTTGGCCTGTGGCCCCCTTCTCCCCGCCCCCACCCCCTTCTCTGTGGCTACCTGTAACCTCTAGCTTAATCTCTGCTGCTACCCAGAATGTCTGATTTATTTCTTCCTTTGACCTGAGGACACAAGGACTGCTGACTCGTCTTTTGTATGCCTTCTTTCTGGCCAGAGACCCTGCAGGACTGGATGCTGTTGAGCTTGATCAAGAGGGTGAACTCTGGATCCAGGGGAAGTTAGATGAGATCCCACTCTCCAGTATTATGGGTACTGTCAAGGGTGACATTTCTGATAAAGATTTGACTTTATTATTCTATTGCAAACAGGATCCAGGACCATGCATTCATTAAAATATTTCTTGTCCTCCCATGGAGAAGAAGGCACTCCTGGCCCCCTCCCTGCTGTTTTTTGGCACTTGATGTGCTTCTGTATGGCTCTAGCTGCAGATGGAGGAAACATTCCTTGCTCCATTGTGCCTTCGAGGGTTCAATATTTGGACTACAGAACCATTTGCCATGCACAGGTCCCCACATGTCAGATGAGATGGGATGCATTTTTCCAAAAGCCTTTCTCTGTGGAAACCATGCCTCCCTGCCGTGATGGACTCTTGCCCCTTTGGAACTTTCTATAAGTTGCTTTAGTCAGTATTTCTATCACAGCAACAGAAAAGTAACTAATACGGCTCTCCATTCAGATATCTGAGACCATAGCCTAGGCACGAGGGAGAATGGGGCCCAACAGTGACCCAACTTCTTAGGTCATCTCTGTTGGATCACAACTTGAAACCTCCAGGGATGTTCAAAGGGCTCCAGGAATCCCTCTAGGGACTAGATCGTACACAGGCGGTGTGCACACCCAGACATGATCAAAGGGAGAATTGTGCAAGAGGGCGGAGGGGCATCTCACCTCAGATGGTGCCTACCTCTCTGATTTATTTTTCCTTTTTTTTTTGAAGATGGAGAATTGGGCCTGCCCCATCTCAGCAGATACCCATGCATGTGTGCATTTGAAGGAGATGGAATATGTCTGATCTAGACACCCTAAAAAAGACAATTTATTATTTTGCAGCATAGCTGGTGTTAACACGAGACAGGACTAGAAAACCTGGCCTCTGGATAGTGGTCTAGATGACAACACTTAAGATAACCAGGTCTGTTCTATAGACACAGGCAAATGGGGAGAAGCTCCCTATATACAAGTTTTCTTCTCTTTTTTAAATTAAAATACAATAATAAGTATTATATATGTGTGTGCATGTATGTCTGTGTCTGTGTAATATGTGCCATGGCATGCATGTGGAGACCAGAGGATAACTTTGTGGAGTTGTTTCTCTCCTTCTACCTTTATATGGGTTCCAGGGATGGATTGAACTTGGGTCGTCAGGCTTGCATTCAAGCCCCTTTACCCACTTAGCCATCTTGCCAGTTGTCTTTGTAGACAACCTGGACATCTGTAAAAGCTGTAAATGGGATACAGATTCAGAGGTTTATTTCTGTGGGCAAGTCTGCCTTGACACTTACAGGCTGACATTGATTCAAAATTCTACAGGGAATGAAATTAAGTAGAGCCAAGTCTTATGAAATAGAGACTATTAGACATTGAAAACTGAAAATGTCAAAGGGAAGCCCTTCAAAATCAAATGTTCTTGCTCTCTCTGGTAACTTTCCCTTGTTTCTGGATGAAAGGGATGATCCCCTGAGGGGAGAAAGGACTGGGTTCTGTCTCTTATCAAGCCCCATTCCCAATGACAGCTCATCTGGGCAAACCTATATATGCTACAAAGAGGGCAAGTATTAGGTCCAGCCCATCATCGCTGCAGTCAACAGTCTCCTGTCCAGTCTGCACCACTGCAATCTTTCTTCCTCCTCCTTTGGTACTGCAGGAAACAGTAACTATTTGCAAGATTATCTCCCCCAGGTCTTCATGGGAACAAATGCCTTTATATTCAAAACTACAATGACAGGATTAACACAAAGATTTTTAGCTCCCTCTGTCCTTTCCCTCCTGCCTTTTCTCATAAGATAGTTCACTGTTCAAGGTAACTGCTTGAAGCCCTGTTATCTCGGCCACCTCTAGCTGGAGTGTAACATTTTGTATTTCCCAGGCTTTTGTAAGACAAAGAAAATAATTTAAAAGAAGCTTTTAAAAATCTAAGCAACAAGAAAGTCTGTCAAGCTACAGAAAAGAACCTTATAGTTTAATGGTATGTGGACAGGTAATCTTAGACTGTGCGTTTGGATTCAATTCTCTTCTCATATGTTGGTAAATTTGTTTATGTGGCTCTGTCTCATGATAGTAAGGAAGGAAATGACATAAATAAGAACCAGTAAGTAAGAATGAAAATATAAAGGATGGAAGTCACAAAGGTGTTTGAAGAGTAGGATATAAAGATGGGGCACATATAATGATTAGAGATTATAAAAATTCCCAAGGTCAAAATTTCATACATGGTTATATGGCCTCTATTTAAGATTTATTTTATTTTTATTTGTGTGTGTGTGTGTGTGTGTGTGTGTGTGTGTGTGTGTGTGTGTGTGTGTGTGTGTGTGAGAGTGTAAGTGCATGTCATGAGTGTATGGGTGCCTGAGGAGGCCCAAAGAGGGTGATGAGTTCCCTGGAGCTGGAGTTATAGGTGGCTGTGAGCCTCCCAACATGGGTGCTGGGACCCAAACTCAGGTTCTCTGCAAGTGCAGGAAGTTCTCTTAAAAATCATCAAGCCTCTCTCCAGCCCCTAAGTCCTCTAGTAAATCAATGAATTTACCATAACATATTGGTCTACTCTAATAACATTTATAAAAACTGAATTAAAAGGGCTGGAGAGATGGTTTAGTGGTTAAGTGTGAAGGACCTGGGCTCAGTTCCAAGCACCCACATGGCAGTTAACAACCATCTATAACTCCAGTTCCAGGGGACACAATGCTGTCTGTCTTCCATAGGCTCTACACAACACGGTGCACTTACATACATGTAGGCCAAACACTCATACACATAAAAGTAATAAATAAAACATTTTAAAGAAATTATTCAAGATAATTATATTAGCCAGGTGTGGTGGTGCATACCTTTAGTCCCAGCATGTGAAGAACAGTAGTAGATGATGGTGGTCCACTCTGGCTGGGTCAGTGAAAACCAGCCTGGGGACTTCCTCACAGGAGAGAGTTGTTGCCCTTTCTCCTTTAACTTTAGGGGTATTAAAACCATTAAATAATTCTTGCATCTTATATATCTACTTAGACTGAATTCTGGGTAAAAATAGGCCTCTAGGAAAAGCACACCAGGGTGAGGAGAAATTTAAGCCCTGTGCCTGCTGGGATTCGGCTTTTTCTAGAGAGTACTGTGGCTTCCTGGCTTGCTCTAATGAAACTCTGGACTGCTTATTGTACAGAGGATAAATAGCTGCTGAGAAAGTAGGTACTCTGTCCTATCCGAATTCTTCTCTTTCTGGAGCACAAGGATTGAGACTGCTTCTAGGGTCTAGAGCTAAGGAAACTCAAGACCACCTTATAACGGCGTTCTAAGGCTGAGTGTGTACAACCAAATATAAGAGATATGCAGGCTTCCACCAGTCATGGTGATGAGGGGCGGTCTGTGGGTTGTCCAGAAAAGTATCCAGGCTGAGGTGCCTTTCTTATAACATTCATCTGGATCTCCAAGGTAACTTTGTTGAGGCAGCTGGTGTAAGAAGCAGGTGGCATCACGTGTACTGGGGGAAGTTAGATGGCCACAAAACCAATGGGCTACTGACAGCCAAACTGGTCTGTACCACAAATGTGGGAGTACCAGCCTCTAGGACTCCCCGTCCTTCCTCTGAGGATGTCATAGAGATTCCTGTTGTTTGCTTTGAACACTGCATGTCAGGCAGATGTGAACAGAGGATAAATAGCTGCTGAGAAGTAGGTAGACCTATGCCCTGGACAACTCTGGGAGCTTCAGGCCGCAGAGATTTTCTTTCAGAGACTCAGGGATGCAAACGTTGTGGCCATGCCTTCGAAGAGGGCCGGGTGAAGGCTAGGAGACTTTTCTTTCCTATCTGCACGAGAGCATGTGAGTTTCCTCTGTAGAAGTGAGCAGTTGAGGTTGGTTGACCACTTACACCATTAACCACCTGTGAGAGTATCCCATGACCATCAAGTTTCCCAAGGACAGATGTGAAGTCCTTCCACAGTCATGGCAGGCCTGCAGATGCTGGCTTGTTGGTAGGCCCATTTGTGGGTTTGTTACCAGCAACAGAGGCATAGCTCCATTCCATCTTCTTTCCTTTTGGGGCCATCCAGGCAGGCCAAACCAGGATTCATGGCTTCCCCACACAAAACAATTCCAGGAGGAGCCAATATGAAGCCAAGTTGGAGATTGACTCAAAGACATATTTTTTTTTTTTGAGACAGGGTCTCCCTGTAACCCCAGCTGACCTGGAACTCACTATGTGGACCAGGCTGGCCTTGAACTCACAGAGATCTGCCTGCCTCTGCTTCCCGAGTGCTGGGACTAAAGGTGTGCACCACCATGCCCAGCCCCCATATATGTCTTAAGCATAAAGATTATTAGAAAGAGAGGTGCTCATGGGCAAAATAAGGCATTCAAGTGAGGGTATGGGTTTCTTCAGGCAGAGTTGTAATTAGGTTTCTTTACAATAGGTTTGGATGGAATTTGATGGTTTGCTCCTTACCTCTCTGAAGGTTGCTAAGAACCCTCCCACCTTTTAACATTGTTCAGAGATGTAGTTTACAACAAGGTTAAAAGTTAATTTTTTTTCTACAAAGTTGTAAGGTGGACTTAAAAGAGGTATTATTCAAGCTGGGCATGGTGGGACATGCCTTTAATCCTAGCACTTGGGAGGCAGAGGCAGGTGAATCTCTGAAAGTTTGAGGCCAGCCTGGTCTACATAGAGAGTTCCAGACCAGCTGGGGCTACAAGAAGACCCTGTTTCAAAAAAGATTAAAAAAAAAAGGTATTATTGAACTGTGGGAAAGAGCAGACAGAGATGGCTAGAAACTCAAGGTTAGCCATCATTTTGGTCCTAAGTCAGCACAGTTTACAGTTTACTTATTGTCCTTGGTAAGATTTTGTTTTGATTTTGTTTTGTTACATTGTCTCTGTAAGCAATTTTGCCTTCTCAGTGCTGCCTGAAGTCTTCTGACTTGGTCAGCAGGACAGATTAAAAAATTTTTTTTATTTTATGTATATGTATGTTTTGCCTGCATGTATATAAGTGAACTTGGGTTGTGCAATGCCCATGGAGGCCAGAAGAAGGCATTGGATCCCTTGGAACTGGAGTTAGGGATGATTGTGAGCTGCCATGTGGGTGCTGGGAACTGAATCCAGGTCCTTTGCAAGAGTAGCCAGTGCTCCTAACCACTGAGCCATCTTCCCAGTCCTGACAGGAAGATCTCTCACAAGAAAAATATCCTATCAAGATGGCTTTAGTTTGAGTCTGACCAGATCAGTAGCTTTCCCCATCTCCCTATCAGGTACCAAAGTAAGGAGGAGGAACTGGGCCCTCCTTTCTCAGAAAATGTCACAGACTCCTCCCTGAGCTTATCACCTGTGCACAGTTGACTCATGGTGTACTTAGTCTTCTGTGTGGACATCTAGGTTGTTTCCAGTTGCCCTCTATGATGAAGACTGACATAGTTCTAATCCTGTTATTATTTGTAATAGTCCAAATTCACTCAGGAAAATAGAGACCATAGTAGCTATTAAATAAAGAGAACTGAACGTTAAAAAATTGGTTTAACAGGCATTGGAGATATAACAAAGAGATAGGGGCCTTTGAAGTAACACGAGTGGTTTTTTTTTTTTTTTTTTTTTTTT